CATCAATGATGCAAATGTTCACTCTACGCTGTGTTGGGAGACCAACATACTGAAGGCTGTCACACCAGCCCCATCAGAGGGCACCAGCAGCCACAGTACAATCAGGCATCGACAGCCTGGTAATCGATAAATACCAGTCTCACAAGGAACGCATTCTGTACCAACGCTGCGATGAATTAGTTGGCTGAGCATGTAGGCCTGGTTGCCGAGTACCCAGATCCATCCCCTACTGAACACACCTGTACACACCTGTACACACCTGTACAAGTACACCGACTAAACCAGTAGTGTCAACTAGGTGATGGGGGCAGGCAGCGTGACGTTCATCTTTGTCAATCCATGTTACTGTAATCAAACCTAATGCTATATCATTAAGGAATGGAATGTGGACATGAGGCTTTTGGAAGTCATGGAAATAGATTTAATCACTTATCCTCGTACTGATGGAAATGAATACACCACGAGACACAGATTGTTAAATGATGTACAATGTCGAAGGAATATGTTACATTTTTCATTACATTCAAATCTCGCACAAAGCAATCAATATCTCGACATAAACATGTTTAACTGATGACTAATATACTCGTGTGCATTATGAGTGAGTGAGTGAATCATCTTTCATCATATATAGCATTAAAATGCTCTCACCCTTTGGGAGAAGATAATTGTTGTTTATAACTACAACTAGTATTTTGCAAAAGTAACAAATAGTGTATGTATTACTGTCAATATGTTTGCCAGGTAGCGTATTCCTTTCCCAAGTGCCACCACTACAATGAGATACATCCACATGTTCTGGGTATCTGTGTGCTCAGTCATGAAGCAATGAGATCAGTTGTAAGGCAAAATTTCCTCAAAACACAAATATTTCCGATTAATGTGCATAAGCTCCAACCACAAGTATGCTTTCATTAGCATTTCTCTTTCTGCAGCAAACCATCATCTCTACAGGCATTATTTAATATTTCTCAAACACAGAGATACTGATGACATTGTTGGGCACTAGCTGCAGCACACAGGATAGTCCAGCTAGCGGAGGGAAACAGTTACTCCACCTAGTGGGCAGTGAATATAAGATGTGTGCTGGTTGGCTGGCCAGCCTCTGTATCGGGAATACCAGGACAATGACTCACCATTGTGGTCACTGATATCACTGGCCTAGTGTAAACCAGCAGACAAACACTACTGATATAACACAGTTACCAATATCACAGGATCACAGCCGGATCTACAGCACTCAGGCACTGTCTACAGTGTATTCTCTCTCCTTCAAAACTGTAATTCCTAGAAACACCTTTAATTAAACTCAGTGATCAATGAAAATTACTTTCAGTGACAACAGTATCGACAGTTCTGTATGGCAGTGTATATGGAATCAGATAAGACTGACATGGCTATTCTGTACTTTCAGTGACAATAGTATCGAAAGTTCTGTATGGCAGTATATACGGAATCAGATAAGACTGACATGGCTATTCTGTACTTTCAGTGCAGGGATAGAAATACTTTTTTTTCTAAGTGTGCCTTAGGGTACCAGACAAATATTTTAGGTGTGCCTTTCAGAAATCGAGTATGCCCACATGTTTTTAGAATAAATGACAATGATGATGCTCATTTGAAATTTATTGTTCAATAAAGAAATAGGTTTATGAGCATTCAAATATGTATGGTATTATTCAATTTGGAAAAAAATAATTGTTTTGGGGATAAAATGACTAAATGTGAGTTACGTCTCTGAAAAATCAGGAGTATCAAAAGGGCACGAGAACATTTTTTAGCTGTGCCATTTCAATAATTACCGTGCCATGGCACACTAATATATGGGGTATTTCGAACCCTGCAGTGACAACAGTATCGACAGTTCTGTATGGCAGTATATATGGAATCAGATAAGACTGTACTTTAAGACGACAAACAATACTAACTCATCTACATCACACATTTGGATAGTTATTCTGTTTGTGAAAACTATATTACATGTACTACAAAACTACTGCAAAACCTGGTAAAAATGGAAAACAATGACACATGGTCATCAAAACACACCCGACAGAAGCAACATCAGACACGAGGCTCAGCACAACGTCCACAACACCGGATGTGTAACAGTCACAAGTAACAACACCATTATCCTCTTATATTGTCCAGAAATGAGGGAAATGTTCCAGTTTTTACACACCAGGAATGCAGTCATGCCCCATGTGCCCCAGTCACTCAAGCATGGCTGAGGCAATCATGGCTGCCAGCTTGTCAATTTGATAATGAGAGCACCTGTCTGTGTGCATGTTCAAGTGATTATCCTGCAGCCCATCACCTGGTCCTACAGCTGACCTGCAGAGGTCTGGAGGAGGCTGACTGTATTCATATATTCTCCTGTCTACAGCTGACCTGCAGAGGTCCCAAGGAGGCTGACTGTATTCATACATTCTCCTGTCTACAGCTGACCAAACTCCACACATGTGGTTACCATACATGCAGACATTAACCTCTGGACAGAAGTGTTCATCTAAGTAATTGATTTTCCTGAAGATAACTTCTGGATTTCAGTTTCTTTATTCTTTAAGAGCAATGTTTTCATACAGTTGCTGAAAACTAAATGAGGCAAGCGATCTACTGAGACATACATGGTTATACAGTGAGTGACATTTACCAAGTTAAACAAAATATCTCCTTCCAAGTTGGGTGAATCCATGATTCAATCCGTCTCCATAAACACTACAGCTTCTAAAATGATTTTCACTGATGACCGTATGATAAGGGTTAGACAACTTTATCTGGGGAGACATCGATCTGTTCATCTTCACAGACTAAACGACCAGTGGGTGCGCCTATCCTCATTATTGATTCATTTACTGAAAACTGAAACCAAAGTAATCTGCCTTTTTTTGTTTTTGCAAAGTAGTTTACTTCCAGAAAGTCTTCAGATTAGAAAGCACATACAAAATGAACATAGCTTCAATGTCGGTTCTTGTTGCAATTGGTTTTCACACAGAAAATGTTCCAATAATAAAACAAATCAAATCCTGACAATATATTTGACTGTATGGTTGCTGGTATAGGATGAATGATTTCCATGGAAACCTTCCCTTTCTCATTCATGACCTTTTATTAAATGATCTACTGCTTCTTCATCATGTCCATCGTCTGACAATTCATGCATGATTTACTGGGAGATCCATCTATAATCACCTGGTGTCTGGGAGGAGCACTCTAGTCTGTGTTACACTAACTTACAGGCCCTCAACCATGCTGTTCCCCTCCAGCCAGCCCTTACCCTAACACTAAAGCCTATAATGAAGCAACATAGATTTTCCACAGGTTGAGAATCCTCCCATGTTAGTGGGGGGTACTTTTCAATTCTAAAGAAGTTGTTTGTTTCTATTATTGAATCATATATTTTCACAGAAAAGCAAGTCCCAAAACACACTATTTTCTCCCCTATGCAAGTCCCACCGCAGCACTGACAAAACCATCTGTTGTAATCCACCTCGTCAGTTACAAACACCCTACACCACAACCTAGAAACTAAGGGGTTCAGTATCTATATTCTTTGTTTGCCTGATCTGTTTTACAAATGATCACACAGTGCTGTACAATTCTCTCATCAATTAAAAGAAGGATTGTTTATAGATGCAGTTTTGTCAGTGTAGACAAAGTGAGAAATGATGTGTTGTGCTGTATGGCGAGGTGCACGTCTTGACGAGACCTGGATCCCCCCTCCTCACACATACTCTGCTGGGTTACATGTAGACAGCATCAGTATCAGTAGATGCTACCCATCACACCTCAACTCATTATCTTCCTGCTGACAGGTGCTTTACAACATCACTTCTTGTGATTTACTTGTTATCCTCAATCTCCAAGAAACAGGCATGTTTACATCATCATGTAAGAAACACTGCTACACAAGGGTACAGTTACATTGACAGGTGTTTGAACAACATGACTTTTCATTCTCAAAATCTATTAAATCATACCTAACAACACTTTGTTTTGAAAGAAATCTGTTTTGACTTGAATATCATTTGGATCAATTTGGAATCAGTTTGATTCTGATGCCACCTGTGCAACACTAGTGAACAGGTGTCATCGCCATGTTCCAGAGTTGGCCGCAGATCACACTCAACATGAAGGTGTATGTCCTATGTTGTTTATGAAACTATAACCAATAACAAATATATAATGTAAGTCTGGCTATAGCAGCAAGTATCATCACAATTATTGTTTACAGAGGAGGGAAATGTGTGAGGGAAATATGTTAATTTATGACAAGTTAAACTGATAAGTTTGATCTACCATAAATACACCCTTGCTAACATAACTAAACAACTACTATCTTATATGCAGTTCTGGAGTGAAAAACACAAATCCTCTTGATACACCAGATGTGTATCAAACAGATGCTTGTCTACTTCTGGCCTGAAGCCATCTGCCCCTTTCAAAAGGTCATCCTTCAAGTTCAGGAACGAAGAAATACTGATATTGTTTTAAGTCTGCAGGTATGTTATCGTTCTCAAAGCAAGCTGAGAAAATGAGGCAGTGCATTATACATGTAAACAACTTGTATACTTCCTGCTTGTGTTACTAGCTGTGATGTACCACTGACTACACTCGGATGTGTTAGCATGGAGCCAGGGGACCAGGCAATGATCTACACTTGTTCAATGACCATTAGTCAGCAATTGAACTTAAACATTACCCGATTTATGCCCTTAAAATCATTTGCCTTCCAATGACACATTGTATCCATAACACATCCCTGTGAATGTCATGTAAGTGAGTTTAATTTTACACCACTTTCAGCAATATTCCAGCAATATCACGGCGGGGGGACAACAGAAATGGGCTTCACACATTGTACCCACGTGGGGAATATTGAGCCCGCGTGACGAGCTAACACATCAACCACTAGGCCACCCCATCGCCCCTGTGGATGTTATACAAGTTTGCAAGTTTCATTCCAGCTACATGAATTATACAACAATCAGAATACTCACAGCTCATCTTTCTGCCTTTGTGATAAAACCATTTTGAATCCTTTGATGTGAGAACCTCTATATAAATTGTTGACTTGTTCTTGACTTTGGGGTGATGCGCTTCGTAAGCTAGTCCATGCTTACTTCATCTGGAACAAGGAACCGTCAATGTATTAGTGAAGGTAATAGACTGACTACATGAAGACAAGATGATGGAGGCTATCATATATGTCATTAAAACACCATGGACAAAACAAACATAGAGCATGCACTGATATATTCTCCATGTTCACTGTAACAAGCTTCTGATAAGAAATATATAGGTCCTGAAAATAAACTTTGTATTAAATGTAACAGTACAGTATTCCACTCTATTTCAGCACTGTTCATTAACCTCATATTTCCAGCAGGGTCAGGGTTAGGGTAAAACATGAGGGATGGGGAAAGCCCTAACACACACAACTGACTGACTGACTTTGGGTTTACACCGCTTTTAGCAATATTCCAGCAATATCATGACGGGGGACACCAGAAATGGGCTTCACAGGTTGTACCCATGTGGGGGCTTCACACGTTGTACCCATGTGGGGGCTTCACACGTTGTACCCATGTAGGGAATTGAACCCGGGTCTTCGGCATGACGAGTGAACACTTTAACCACTAGGCTACCCCACCGCCTCCTAACACACACGAGATAATACTTTCTTGTTTTAATTAAAGACATCACATAACTTCTTGGATTACACTAAAGTTACAGGTCTCCTATAATAGCCAAATTTAGACTCTTCTGTGGTAGCCTCATGTCTAAACAGGGCATAAGAGTGAGTGAGTTAATATTTAACGTCATATCGGCAATATCTCAGCCATATTGTGACGACAGGGCATAAGAGTATACTAGGTCAATACTAATGGAATCAGACCATTCACTTTAACTTATGGGAAAGTTCCTGTACTTCATCTGATAACATGGACAATACTTCAGATGCTTTCATTGTCAAACCATTGTGAGTCAAAACAGCCATTTCTTATTTCAGTAGATGCAACACTGATGAACGGACAATAGGCCTTATATATTTGGTGATGGAAAACAAGAAGGATTCAAAGGCTATGAGATAGGATTTTTACCTCAAATATAGATTTTTTTATACATACCTATTCACCATTACTTACAAAACAGCAGTAACAAAATCTCAAATTATTTTTATTTTCAAGTCACCAAATTGCTAAAGTCAGTTAAATTATTTGGGCCAAAATGGCTTATCTTATTTGGTCTTTATTTCCAGCTTTTCTTTAGGGTCAGTCTCAACAAAAGAGAAATCCCTTATAACGCCTTAGGTTATTCTGCCAAGGACGGCTTGGCGTCAACTCCAGCAGTCCAAGGATCAGGTTCAAGTTCTGCCTTGAAATAGCATCAAAATGATAAATGTATTGTGACACCTGTCAATACTCCAATGAACCAGAATCAGCAACAAAGGAAAGCAGTTGTGGAGTACTGCTATCAGCCCAGATTAAGTACAGCAGAACAACACAATCAGCAGAATGACCAGCACCGTTTGTGTTGCTTCTAAAACCATCATCAATCATTATGGAGGCAAGCAAACAATCATTGATTAATTTTGTTATATTGTCACCCCGCATATGCAAAATGATATTAAATATTTTGACAAACAGCTTTTTGAACAGCAAGTAAAACCTTTGCTACATGAATGAGCTTAATCTGTAAATCACTGTTCTGTGTTCAAGATTTTGTCTGGTTCTGAGGTCTTTGAGGCATGATCATAGTGTTTGACTAGAGTGACTGTCAGAATTTCTAACTTCAGAAATGGTTGGTTATGACAAAATTAATATGACTGATGGGATATACAGACTGATAAATGGTATCTATCCTCTGTGGTGGACAGCCAACAGTTGAGGGTCCACACCAACCAGCCATTATCCCTGGCCAATCCCCATTACTGGCAGCCATCATGGCTGGCTTGAAATAGGTACAATTTTCCAAGTCTATGTCATGCATATAGTTCAGAATTCCGACAGTCGGTGTCGAAACATTTATAGGCTACTAACTAAACTTGGCTCTCGACATAATTTTCAGTTTTAGTGATATTATATGGACTAATCTTTCTGAGCTTACTAACATGCAAAACTGAACAGAATTTTATTGGACAAGGTTTAAGATAACTTCTTTGAGTGGCATATATAGAAGTTGGTGAATCAGATAAGAACAACCTTTATGGATGAACAACTTCTTTATTCGGGTGATGCGATGTTTCGATACAGATTCATGAATCGTTGTCCAGCAAGTATGATTTGCATATGTGCAAGTCCACATACTTGCTGGACAACAATTCATGAATCTATATCAAAACGTCGCAACACCAGAATAAAGATGGTGTTCATCCACAAAGTTTGTTCTTATCTAAAGGTTTAAGATAGTGGCCGAAGAAGCAGGCTGATTAGTTACAAAATAAACAAGATCAAGAACACACAAATTACATTAGCTATGTTACTATTGGATTATTCCAACATACTGCCTTGTTGGCTATATCATGTATATGATACTAACAAAAACGGGACGCACTTATCACATGACTGTGTGAGAAATCCCACCCACTATTCAACCTTTGTTCATTGTTTCTTGACAACAGAGGCTAGAATCAGCTCTATATCCAGCCATCATGTCTTCCTCATCACATCAACATGACAATGGGAGACCCTGCTCTATATAGATGTCCTCCACATGTAGTACACAGGACATATCACTGACATTACCATCTGTATATCAGGCTGACATATCACTGACATTACCATCTGTATATCAGGCTGACATATCACTGACATTACCACCTGTATATCATGCTGACATGCCTTCAAACCAGTGCTTCATTAATTCCTATTTTTAGAAAAATGTCATGTTTGTAAGATTGTGGTGTATAGATATGATGCAAGGTGTTTTGACTATATGTAATACAGGTGTTATCACCCTCTGTGTCGGTGTGTGTGTATTCATAATGTACCTGGGCTACAAAACATGGACACTAATCTCTGACGAAGAATTATTGACACAAGTTGAGGACTCAACTGAAGGGCCAGTGAATCCTGGCAGAAGTAAGGACACAACCCTACACAGTGAACTGTGATGCCTTTATTCAATGGCTGACCATATCCCTGGATTGCTTTGTAACAGAACAGATGAGGGTTAGAATTTATCTTTAGTAACCAATGCTTGTCGTAAGAGGCAACTAAAGGTATTGGGTCTTCAGGCTTGCTGACTTGGTTGACACGTCAATGTATCCCAGTTGTGTAGGTTGATGCTCATGCTGTTGACCACTGGATTGTCTGTTCAGACTTGATCATTTACCGCAATATAGCTGAGTACGGTGTTAAACAAACTTTACAAAACCAAACAATCTTTGTCAGCTATGGCTTAGCTACAAAACAACAAACTGCCAGTTGCTAATGCGAGCATCGATTCCCCTGACAGTAAACCATCCTGGTTCCAGGTGAGATTTGCTCATCCACTCTATCGGCCATTCTAACCCTCCAATCATATGTTAGTCACCATGTACAACATGCTCTAGACATGCTGGAGTCTATGTGATATCAGACAAACACCCCGCTGACTGAGATCATACCGTATATGCAAATCTTCCGGCCCCTAACAGGTGGTATGGGTTCTATAGTCCTCAGGGAGCTGAGAAGCATTGCCATGCACACCAATACACAGAGCCATGCTCATGCTACTGGGCGTGAATATGGTGCAAGGTTGTTTTTTTTTCATTCAAGCTTTCTGAATAGGCAAAGAGGGAAAAAGAAACTAATTTGTTGAAAACCAGGATATTTTTAATTTGCTATTTTTCAAATTGAATTTTGAAATTGAATTCAATGCAATAATATAAAATAATATATTAAAACCTCTTCTTATTTACTGGTCTGGCTATCAGTCTTAAACAGGATAGCTCCATAAAGCCAGAAAATATGTTATTAGTTACATTTAAATACATTTGGATTTTTTTTAAAATTCTGAATTGAGAATTTCACTGACATTTGCTGCAGCCTTGGTGCAGACTTTCTTCCTCTCAGCAGATAAAATCCATGATGTAATATTCTCATTTTACAGCTTCAGCAAAGAAGATTGTAGTTATTCTAATTACTGGACCAGACAAGTCAATGGTCCATAAAATGAGCACAAATTCAGTTTGTAGACAAAAAATCCTTGAGGTCACAGCTGACAATATTTCATGGCAGCTACCAACTCTGATCATACAGAGCAATTGCTGTGACCACTTGAAGTGCTTCCGATGGCTGATGTAGAAATCTCTCCTGTCATAACTAAAAAATGGATTTCCCGAGTTTCCAACCAAAGTCTGTTCCTACAAATAGAAAATACACTCTCTTCGAGTGGAGCTGAGCTGAGCAGTGTTTTGTTGTGTTGAGTTGAGTTTTACGCAGCTTTTAGCAATATTCCAGCAATATCACGACAGCGGACACCAGAAAATGGGCTTCACACATTGTACCTATGTGGGGATCAAACCCAGGTCTTTGGCGCGACAATCAAACGCTTTAACCACTAGGCTAACCCACCGCCCCAGACTCTCTTTGAATATGTTGCACATACACACAGGCAACACACATTGACACAAACAAGAAGTCTATCTACATCATGTATACAAACTTCAACATGAGAGAGTCCAGTCGACTCAGCACTACCAACTAAACAGGCAGGGTAACGGACATACAATTCTCACTATAAAACAAACTAAACCTAATGTTCACTCATAATAGAAGTTCATGACTTTCTTTAGATCTGTTTTGTTCATCATGAATGACAAACTTGACCCTAAAAGCTGACAAGTGAGATGACTCACACCAAATAACCAGCTGGCACCCTGTGGTGTCAGTAACCTGGGTGATGATCACATGACAAGGGTTAACATACAGTGAACCCCACTCATCAACCCATACTTCCTATAGTACCAGCATCACATAGTACCTATCTTCCCTGTGGTGGCAGTAACCTGGGTGATGATCACATGACAAGGGTTAACATACAGTGAACCCCACTCATCAACCCATACTTCCTATAGTACCAGCATCACATAGTACCTATCTTCCCTGTGGTGGCAGTAACCTGGGTGATGATCACATGACA